GGTACAGCAAGCCAGACACTGCATACAATGAACCCTGTGTGTCCCAACTCACACAGAATCCAACCCCATCTCCCTAGGCCTTTCATCCCAAGTCTCACAAAATTCAACAAGAAGTTCCTTAGGTACGGTATCAAACCTGCCAAAACCTCACAAAACCTGCTGTTGGAGTATGGCAGGTTTTGGGTAGTTAGGGTTAAAGGCATCATAAACAAGGCAGGCTTATTTCAAACCTCTAACAAGAGGTGGTAGGCCTACATTTAGCAAGTTTATTTGCCAGTCCAAAAGAAGCTAACCTCAGACATACACCTGTGCATGTTCGACCAGAGTGTATTCACTGATTTTATTAATTTAAATTAAGCCATACAAGAGAAGAGACTCAGATGCGTAAAAATGGACAAAGACGTTGACTGGAGGGACTTAACATGCAATCTGTGGACCATCAGTGTTCGGGGGACACTGCAGTCAGATGCCATTTACTGTACATGTCCTTCCTAAACATGAGGGGATTTTGCAACAAAATCCGACTGATAAAAGGAACTTTGTACATACATTTTCATTCAATAAATGTGAGAAACAAAACCTCAGCTTATGCTCCGCATATTCTCTGCTGACTGGGCCTGGGGAGTACGAGTTCACTCTGGTACGAGTCAAGCTGGGTACGAGTTTACTCGGGTGCGAGTTGACCTGGGTACAAGTTAACTTGGGTGCATATTTTGGGGTACGAGTTGACCCATTTCGGACCTAGCCCAGGTTTGACGCCAGTCTTCATTACATTACAAGTACAGTCAGAATGCACTTATATGTAGGTGCCTGAGCTAAGGGCATGCATAAATGAGTGAGGGCGCTGTTTATTAGGAAACTCATTTTCTTAATATTTATGTATTTATTATTCATACTGGGGAACACATTCAGTTTATAAAAACTGTTCTCCCATAGGTCCCAATTAACAATACTAAAAGTGTAAAAAGACATTTTAAAAAATGAAATAAAATTAAGTATAGACAAGTACATGTACAAAAATCATAGGATATTATTACAAATCTTTAGAGAAGATATTGCATTAAAAATTTAAAAACATTAAAAGACAGGTTCCAAAGGCCTACCAAAAACTGTACAGAAAAACAGTTGGCAGTTACATGTACAGGCTTTAGGAAAGAAACTTTTTAAAGAGGTTTAATTAGGAAAAAGTGATTAAAATTTGTCTTTTTTTGTACGTTGTAGCTCCTCTGTGACCAATCACAGGGCTCCACATCATGCCCAAATGGCAAGAGCGACAAGCAACAGCTGTTGGACCCGAGTGCACATGAGTGCACCGTTGCACTCAGACCCTATGGCTGTTGCTTCTTGTTCTTGCCATTTGGGCATTTGACCCCAACGTGCCGCAGACAACTGCCATTTCAACCAGTCAGTCCAGTTGCGGCTAAGAATTACCTCACACACACATAAGGAAAGTGGCAGCAGCCAATTTCCATATCTTGTGTATCGATCGCAGCCATAGTCAATCATTTGGTCGCGGTTTGTCTTCACAAGTACACATGTGAACTGCATGACTTTCGGACGCTGATTGGGAAATATTTCCACCTTTATTTGAAAATCAGCATGGTCTTGGCCTTTTTTTTTTTTTATGAGTATGAAGGTATGTAAGCTATCAGACATAGACCTCTCGGGGGAATGGAGCAGCATTTCTATGGGTACACAACAAACATAAAAAACGTGTTCATGCCCTGTTAAACAACATGTATAACCTATAGCGAAAAAGGCTTGTTTTCTGTGTGGTTTGTGGGAGCGGAGCAGACGTTGAACCCCACAGTTCTGGGGGTAATCTTTCAGGGGAGAGTTCCATATAGACACCAGTAATTATTCCCAATGTTCAGTGGCCTATCAGCCTTCAGAAAGCAAAAACATTTTCAGAAGAGTTCAATTTAGGAGGGAAAAAAACGAGTTGTTTACTTTGTAAAGTCTTAGAATTTTTCAGACCAGTTTCGTAGGGTTTGTGCACAGGTGTCAAGTGGCATCTGTACGGAACTCTTTCCTATTTGGGGACCTTGTATTCCCGCCATTGTGAGGCATACTCTGTGTGCCTCACAGTTCCAAATTTTCATCGCTTTGTAATGCTGTAGGATTCTGAATGTGCCCGTTTAGTCTGCCTACCACTGCACTTTCTCAATCAACTCGTCCCCCAATAAGCCGTCCACACAAAATGATATCTCATCAACATGTGATCACAATGGTTTATGGACCATCTATAAGCTAGTTTGGGCAAAATTCAGACCTTTTACCTACGATCTTGCCTCTCTTCAACAAACGATCTGGACATGTGAGCTGTATACTGCGGTGCACGTCAGTTGACACAGAAGACTGGTTTTTGTCCTCGGAAGATACATGTATATAAGATGGGTTACTCTATTGTGGCAGTAGTTAACTTAGTTAACACAATCGAAATACAGATTGCTCGCTCACCTATCTGCATTATCTTGTCCTTGCTGTTATTTACCTTGTAACTCTTGCCTTTTAACTTTTGTGGTTCAATTTATTTTTCCCTATGATGGCTCAGAAAATCTGTGTGCGCACTGTATGAAAGCAGAGGTGGAGTCTCTATTATCGCCGTATTGAGAAATGGTTTCTATGATGACCTTTGAAGTACTTTGTTTATAAATTAATGAAGATAAAAAGAGTAAGTTTGTGTTCAGAGAAAACAAAATACCCTCATTTTGTAATAAATGATTCATTTTACCCATAATTGACTCCATTTTTGAGCGTTCTCCTCAAAGATGCCCTTTGCAAGAGAATGAGATGGGAATGATTGCACTGCCTCACCTTAATACGCTTACTCATCCAGCAAGGAATGACTTCACCAGAACTTTTTTACCCCCTCTTAAAAGCAGCAACAACTTTGACGTTCATCTTATTACAAAAATGAGTGATTGCCGAAGGAATGATAAATATGTGGGCATCGCAAATTTCAATTTCTTGGTGGACTCGTTCTTTTATGGATGTCTGAACTTTGCCAAAAATAGCTCGTAGACGGTCAAAAACACCATTGTGGTTGTGGGTTTATTACATGTATTTACAAATGTAGTGTGTACAACTTTTTGAAGGACGATTTGATTGTGAAAGTGCCATTTTACGCAGAGTAAACGGGCACATTAACAATCCCATAGCATTTCAAAGCAACAGAAATTTGAAATTGTGAGGCACACGTGGTCCGTTGTCTGTTGCGCTCCCATGTGGGATTGTGGCAGACGGTGAACCACACAGTTTTTGGCGTAAAAACAACTCACCTTTATAATTTGGTGATGATGTTCTCTTTCATATCAGAAAGATCGCATTAATGATTGCGTTTAAAGAGGACAGGGCTTAGGTGTTTGAGGGAAATTATGGCATAGAGTAAGGACCTGTTTCCGTGATTATGGGGTAAAATGGCAGCCTACCAGATGCAACGAAGAGGTGTCAACAAAGACAAATTTGCAAATGTTGTCTAGTTCCTTGACCTGGATGAAGACCTTGGACAAATCTTGATGAATCATAGTACATTCACAATGGCCTGAGTCTGGTAACCAGACTACATGTAGCGGTGAACATGGTGAATCATCCGCAGATGACATACTGTACATGTGTAGCAGTTGTTGTTCACCTAACATGTATAGAAAAAAATTCTACTTAAATATTGTCAAAATTTAGCTAAACAAGAGCTGTTAAGATTAACCACTTCATGCCAGGGCATTTTTCAATGTTGATGATGCTGGGCCGGCATGACTATCATTTTTTTCAATTTTCAAAATCCTTCAAAAATTCGTCATTTCATTTAACAGTCGTTTATAGGCGCATGAAGTAATCTTTAGGCACTACTCTAAGTTGACAGGTGACCTTCATTGATGCCCGAGTATTTCAGCCAGGCTTGCAACCTAGTAAACACAGCCCAGATTGTGCGGTGTTGTATAACTGTCTTTTGTTCACGAACCTGGCTCAGTGCACTGCTGACCTCTTTTCAATAGGTGCCAGATTAGCATGCAGCGGTGCCGTGTGGCTCATCGCTGCGGTGGTGGAGTGCTTTTGTCCCTGGTGGTAATCCGCTCGCTTTCAATGCCCCAAACCCTGGTATACGGTTTCAAAACAAGGCTGAATTATCACCACTTTTGAGAGTGAAAAGTGTCGGTAATGCCCAGCAGCCTGGTCTTTTGTTCGGAGTTCGGTCTTTTGTTACAGGGCCCTGTTTCCTTTGTCGAGTTTGGAGACCCCGGCCACACATATATACCATACGTCTCCGATTCCGGAGTCCCCGGCAGGAAGTGGTTAACCCTAACCGCCAAGCATTTTTTTTGGCTTACATTACTCAGTACTACAAAATACAAAGTAGTAGCCTGAGCCTGAAGGACCTAGCGCTACAAATTACTACTTCTGGCTAGGTTACTTCCATTGTTACTCGTACAGAGAACAATAAAGCCATGCATTCATAGTGCCACAGCACTGTGTGGTACATTGCCTTTTCTATTGTATTTTATGGCTTCAGAGAATAATGCTGGTCATGTCCTCTTACAAGCAGCAGCACTGATTACTACATTTTACTACAAGTAGTAATTTGTAGTATTATGTAGGGTTAGGGTTAAGGAACCGATGCTCAGGGTCAAAATGTCAGTATACACATGCACAATGTATTGTAAAAGTGGAGTTTGTTTCCTTAGACTATTATATGTACACTGTATATGTAGTAACAAGGTGTGAAAGATAAACATGTAAAAAGCATATCCCCAATATGCCATGTTGCTTGAGATACATGTAGGTGTGCATATCTTCCAGAATTTTGTTCCATTTTGCTACCACCCTGTACAGAGAGTCGAGACGCTCTACAGACATCACAAAAAATTTGCATCTTTTCCTCCAGGCTAGGATTAATTTTTTGCTGAGTGGTCCTTTATTGAAGGGTCAATTATGCCTCTGCATTTTGCATTACAGGAAGCCAGCCTTGAGAATAATGAATGCTGACGAGGCAGGTTCACACAATGACTACAAGGCTAAAAGGCAGTAAACACAGCTCTTCATCAGATGAAGCCTTTGTTCATCTGAAAATTAAGGAGGCTAGGGTGTCCCAGTACCTGTGCCTGAACAGCATCAGACTTGCCTTCATCCCGAGTGAGGTAATCTCCAAGCTCAACTCTCTGAGGTATCTTTACTTGAGCAACTGCAAACTCCGGGGGCCCATCCCCTCGTGTTTGGCTCAGCTGACACTTCTGGAGGTGTTGGACATCTCCCAGAATGCCATCAGTGACCTCCCCGGCCACATTTGCGAAGGGTTGACCCATCTGGTCACCTTGGACATCAGCTTCAATAAACTTGTTGCCCTCCCAAAGGCCCTGGGCTGTATGCAGTGCTTGCGAGAGCTGAGCGCGGCCCACAACAAGATCGTGGTGCTGCCGTCAGAACTCGGAGACCTGTTGAGACTTGAAGTGCTGGACCTCACGGGGAATCTCCTGAGGAATGTTCCTGGGGAGGTGTTGGTGGGCAAACTACGGCAGAGCCTGGTCACCTTGAGGATTGGAGGAAACCTTCTGAAGACCCTCCCACCAGAGGCTGGCCTGTTGCGGAAGTTGGAAGAACTGGATCTGAGCAATAACTGCTGCTGTTTCCTGCCATCAACGATGCGGTCGCTATGGAAACTGAAAGCCTTTCATCACTCAGGTACCTGGGGGTTTTGATGCTACCATACTGTATGGTCAGGCTTTAGATTTCAGTGTTTACAGGTCATCATTTCAAACTTGTGTTACCTTATTTCTGTTTTGGATAAGGAGAGTAATCCAGAGGCACATTTTATCTTCTTTTAAGGTACCATTTTTGGCATTTTTCATTTTCTAGTTTGCTAAGTTTTTACAGCAGTCAAATGAAATCAACACTTGCTGAGGAATAATTAAAGCAATGAAATAATTTTTGTATTAACTGAAATTTAACTCTTCTGAAATGGCAGGTAAATTAGCTTGAATATTTCACAACTGAATTACAGTATTTGGCAATCCTTACTTTAAGACCCCACCACTTCTTTACTGATATGTATGTCGTTTAACTGTCAGAATGGGCAAGAATTTGCACATTTACTAGCAAACATCCTCCCCGAAGTGACTCTTTAATCCCTCGGTTGTTTACAAGGAAGACTTTCATAGGCTGCAGTGGTAACTTTGGACTGATACACACCTTGTGGGGGACAAGAAAAGTGTAGAGGTGTCCTGAAGGTGTGGATTGCAAAAAACTGTACCGGTACCTGAAGTTATTGGTACACTGCTTTGCAGACTTTTCCAATACACAGCGGTCTTTTACCCCGCATACACAGGCAATGACTGGATGATGTTTCCGCCTCACATCTCTGGCGTCCCAGCAAAGGACCAGTCTAGCTATGGGTGTAAGGCACTGGAGAAACTCTACAGCTATGTGTATCCTCCATGAACACCGATATGCTGCAGTGCTGAAGGTAACTCAAGGTAACTCTTAACTCAAACTCCCTTAAGCTTTTCTAGTAGAAACAGCACTGAACCTATCAAAGTTCAACAGATACAACTTGTATATTGTATCTACTGTACATGTGCAAGGGGTCACGGTAATTACTGGTACATGAACAGACAGAATCTGTTCGACTCCAACAGCTCAACAGTGTTGAAGTTTGAGTCATTTGGCATGGATCTGTCTCTGCAGTACAATGTATCACCCACAGTCCAACACTTGGTATCACCAGCCACTAGCCAGCTAGTGTGTCGTTTAATCAAATTAAAATCGACACTGTCACCCTAGGCCTTGGTTCCTTAATCCAACAAAGTTTAACAAGTTCATAATGTATGCCACAGAATCAGCCAAACTTTGACACAAGATACAGTTGGAGTTTGATGGTCTTGGAATAGTTAGGGCTAAAGTCCTGATATGCGACCCAATAATTCTCATGAATTTTTTATCCAAGTGTTTTTGTCAGGAGCCTTTCCAAATCCTTTGCAAATCAGCCTCTGTGTAGGAAGTCAACGGGCCATTCTTTTCCATCGGGTATTACTAAGCCCCAAACAAACTGATAGTTGCTAGGATTCACTTTCCTCGCTCAGACAGACTCCTCCCAAACCTGTTGGATATCAAAGCTAGGGTTTGTTAGACTTATTGGTTTTATTTAAAGCCCATCCTTAATTAGGGTTACCCATCCAGCGAAAGCAGCTGCTCATTTGGCACTGTCACAGTACTGAAACATAGATGTGCATCAAATTACATGTACCTCAGTTGAGACACATTGATGTCTGTTGCCATTTGCCTTGTTACTACTGGGAACCGGTTGGGGTCAGCAGTACCTCACAGTCGCAATCATAAAAGGGACCAGATTTCATAAAATAATTGTTATTAAAGGACCCCCTTACATTTTCATGTAGTTTTGATTTTGTTTTCTTGATATCTCTTTGACTCATCATCATCATCAGCCGTTATTGTCCACTGCTGGACAAAAGCCTCTGGATGGCGATGTCAATTTACTCTGTCTCCAGCTGCTGTTTGGCAGTGGACAGTGCCCCACTATCTGCCGAGGTCATCTCGCCACCTCACTCACTGTCTTCCCCTGTTCCCTTTGCCATCCATAGGGGTCTATGATATTATGATTGAGCTCCTGTTGTCTTTTCTCCTACATGTACTAAGGTGTCCAGCCCATTGCCACTTACTGAGTTAATGATTTCCAAAATGTCTTTTGGTTCTTTGTCACGAGTGACTCGCATTCATCATTCAGTTTGGAAAGCTGGTTCAACTGTATATTTTTGGTGATTTCCTTATTTTCAATTTTGTAAAAAAGCAAAACTGAAAATTCAAATTAAAGAAAGGTAAGAAATGTCAAAATTGATACATTACAAAACAAAACCAAAAGCAACAAATTAACTGAAATACATAACTTTTGTCAGTCAGATCTGTTAGTTTCTTTATTGCTTTCTGTTCCCGGTGAACTTTGCACCTGTCAGTGGTTGTTTTCTTTATTTTCACATTTTGTTGGGGGGTCCTTTGTATCATGAAATGACGAATCCCTATTTTGTTTCATGATTGTGTTTATGAAGCATTCTGTTTCCCGTATTGTTTGGGGTTTAAATGCTTTTATCTCTCCTGGTTTTTTTTTTATCTGTGTTGTTTCCATCTTCCTCAACCATCAATCTGCTGGCGTACCAGACACCTTGGCATATTATGTTTGGGTATGGTTATATCACTGCGTGCACTTCAATTGAGTGATAGCTTCAACGTTCTGAATGGCTGCTTGCTGAAGGAGTTCATCATCCACTACAGATTCATTTGTGCTTGCTGGGTAGCCCGTCCGTCTCTGACAAGTTGTTGCCGCTCCAGTAACCGCAGGGTGCATTTAACTGCAGCCTTGAATGTAGAATGTACCATCATTATACATTTGAGGAAAAGGGGACAGGGAGGGAGCAGCTTCAGCTGAATCATTGGATTTGTACATGTACCGTACCTTCAGGAAGTTTGGCATGAATGTGAGGCCTCGCATTGTTGTATGGGTGGTGTAGGGGCTTATTGTTTGGGGAGAGTGCAGCAGATTCTTGAACTGTGTCCGCAAGAATCTCCCGGAATCCTTCTTGTGTCACAGTTTTGAATGCGATTCGATGTTGCACCAAGCCAACTTCATCGGAAACAGCAAAGGTGACATTGCAGTTCCTCCCTTGTTGTCTGTTGATGGCTTGTCATGCTGCGAACCCTCACCAGGGAAATTTCTGGCATCGGGAATCGGCGGAATGTCCTCCTCTAGTTTCAGAGTAATCATCATCCTATCCAAGGCCCTGGCTGTGGTTGTAGTGGAAACTCCTGGCTTTTCAGGCAGATGCTCACTCAAACTAGCCTTCATCTGTTGAGGAGTCAAGAGAGGCTTATCATCAAGGACAGTGTTTTAGCTAGGACCATTTTAGTGCCGGGTAAATTTTTGGATTACAATGCATAGTGAGTGCAGTTCTTAATGCTTTCTGATGCTTGAAATACAATCAAATTGGTACATTTAAATTTTCAGTAATATTTCAGTTCATTCTTTGGAAAATCCTTGCTGGGTGGCACAGGCCAATTTCAACCCTGAGTACCGGGCGGAAATTTGCAGTATCGGGTGGTGCCGCCCGGCACCGCCCACCGTGGCTAGAACCCTGATCAAGGATACCTTGCGGGTGGTTTTGCATCATGTCATCCATCTTGAAGTGTGTTGCTCCACCTCTGGCCAGTGTCTGTTAGGGCTGTGCCAGTATCTGAATATTCAATCAATTATTGAATATTGAAATATGAAAACATTTCCAAATTTGAATATTTGAATGCAAAATTCATGAAAACGAAGGGAGAATTTTCTTTTGCTTAAATAGAAAAATCGCACTATTGTTTCAAGCAGATTCAAATGAAAACCGACAGAAATTTTACGACTACTCAAAAAGTATTGTTTGTCTCTTAAATCTTGCTAAATCATGGCTGGAGATAGTCCCAGAAGTGAGAAGCTATTGTAGTGATTATATTGTACAATTGTGTGTGTTATTTCAACTGATTGTGTATATGGTTTAATCATCACCAATCTGCCGGTCGGTAAGACCGAATATTCAGATACTTGATCAAATTGAAGTTTGAATATTCAAATCGTGAATCATTCCATTTGACTCAGCCCTAGCATCTGTCACTTTCCTGGCCTCAAATATGTTGCAATATTCAGTTAATCTTGCTGTGGACTTGTTGATTTTCGAATTGACCACAAGCTCAAGGTAGTCTTGCTGGTTTCCCTCAAAAGCATCAATCCACCTTTCCCAACCTACCCAAGACACTCTTGCGTATCGATCACGGGCCTGCATTGTATAACTGTAACAAAAGGTTGTCTTCAAAGAACATCACCAAAGTGTCTCCTGTGCCCATGAGTAAACCATAATATCTGTATACTACATGCATTAACATTCTAAAGGAAACACTTTAACAGTGTGTTTTGGATTTCACAAATTACAGAATGCCTGCCCAATAATGAAAATGAATGACCCAGCATAAACCTCAAAACAGCACCTGCAAAATTGAATGCTTTGAACATATTTAGTTGTTAATTTGGGGTGGTAATTTTGTTAAAACAAATGATGCAAGAGTGCTTTTGCCTAGTCTTAAACAAAATCGAATGACCGTTTTTACAGCTGCATTTCAATTGTGGGTGAAAGAGAATGGCATGAGCTGCTCATTTGCCGAAATTGACTGGGAAAACCTAGATGTACATACATTAACAGATGTCCTGCTTACATATACATGTACCTGGGACATACACAGGTTTTATAAGACAGCTTTTATTCATATCTTTTAAAGGCACAGATATTGGTATGATTCCCCCAAGGTGTGAGCTGGTTAATTCCAGTGCAAGTGTACGTTTGCAACCGTGGAAATGCCCCTTTGACACTTTTTAAAGGGTCTATGCATAGCATTTTCCTCCCATACAGCCCTTGAAAATGCACCTTTTCCAATGGAGAAAAGCCTTGTAATGAGAAATCAGCAAATGAAATGAAGAAACTGTCAGCAGTTGGCACTTAAATAATTGGACTCAGAAAGCACTTTAGAGGAATCCCTCTCAGACTTGCAAATAAATTTTCACCTGAAGAATGAATATGTTGAATGACCTTTTTATGGGTTTTTTACATTCTGTGAATTTTCCCTGAGGGTAAAAAATCAAGTCTGGATCTTTCACAGCAGCTTTTACTCCAAGCATCTGAAAAGTCCTCTCAAAAGGAAAGAAAGTTTTTTTTTTTCAGTCATAGTTTTTCAGTTTTGGATTTGTTAGATTTTTCCTTGGATTACACAGTTTGATGCAATAATTACTAAGCAACCATTTAAGTGCAGCTGACATGATGAATATATTTACAAAGTACAGTTGACCAGATAATAAATTGGTACCCTGGACTTGTCTAGTTTCCCCAATTAATGACCTTTGTTCTTGACATAAGAGAATAGTAGACAGAGTATAGAGAGACTTTTATTTTATCTGTCTTATAACACTGGTTTTGTATGTACATGTACACTGCATGTTCATTGCTTGTGTTTGATATTTCTGTACATGTGTGATAAGTATATTATCGCCTTATTCATTTCTGTGTGCTGTAAAAACAATACGTTTATTGGTGATGTACGTGTAACTGTGTGAGGGAAGGGGAAAAATCATTTCAACTTTTGTAAGTGATATTCCCAAAATTGATGAAATGGAATTTCGGCATTCTCATTTAATCATTTTTACCTTTCAAATTGTTGGTCCAATTATGAGAGTGTTTAGACCTCAAAGGTATTGTTGCCCCGATTTTGAAAGATATGAAATCTTTCAAATTTTAAAATTTGAAAGATTTTTAAAGCCCAAGCTGTCAGCCTGATGAACTAGTGCTTTAAACAATATTTGCAACAGGTTTGCATTAACCTTCTACTGGTCACTCCTCAACATTATCCTGCCTGTGCCGTATTTGGGGTATTTCTGTCTTAGTGAGTTTTGATGCATTCCTGTTTGCATGGATATGAAGAACATTGGGTAAAATGCAACTGCTTACTGGGTCATGGACCGGAAATAATAGTGAATGAGCTTTAAACAGTCAGTCTGTTGACACCCATTCTGAATCAGGTACTGTATGGTACAACAGGTTTCTTGGTAACCAAGGTGTCCACTGTTATGCTAATGAAGATACACTGCTTTCATCCCTGAATGGACTGTTCACAGTGGGTGTTTGCTGAGGCATGCAAACATAGACTGACCCTCAACTCCTTGACTATTGAATGATAGACTTGGGCCTGTGGCTGGTGAGTTCTGTGGGTTGGGTTTGTTGTATGTTATGCTGCTGTTAGTTGTTTGTGGTAACATGTGACTGAGTTTCTGGAAGTGTTGGATTCACACGTATCTGTGGGTTAAATCTTTTAGGAAGGGAGTACAACTACGTGGATTGTAAGTTGAAATTGTTTACTCAGTCATGCAGTCAGGTAGAGTTTAACTTCCTTGAGATCTCACACTAACTGGTCTGCGTTTAGAACACGTACAGTGTCATGTCTCTGTTGTTGGTTAAACAAAAGTTTGATTTAGAGTTCCTTTTTTTCTGATCAACAACCATGCTGGTTCTCATACTGATTTCATTAAAGTACCTGAGTTGTCGATTGCAAGATTTTTTTTTCTGCCTAAAAATTGTAGAAATTGCTGTTTCCAAGCACGGAGGAAGGAAGACAGTGTTGTGTTTAGAAACATGCTTTGAAGTTGAAAGATTGTGCCTTGTAAAGGAAAGTGTATTTTTAGACTGTTCTTCCAATCAACGATTCAGCATTCAGATAATTTATTTCAAAGGCTTGTATCCAAAAATATGATACATATCATATGTACATTGTGTACATGTGCATATTTTGTATGCAATTACATTTATGTACCTATATGTACATTGAATTTGACCCTGTAAACCCACTTGAGCTACCCCCTTGACATTTTCTCAGATATTGTCGCAGTTCCTTTTTTCGCGCTAACCCTTAAGGTGTTTTACAAGTACCGTGTCTTTAACTGTCTTAAAATAATTTGGACAACAATTTAAATGCAGACGTTCTTGAAAACCCTTTTGAACATTTATTCTTCTGAGACAAGTCAGCGTGAAACTTTTTCCGTGGACGTGCTCAGTGCACCAGGGCCAACGCACATGGGGCCATGAACTGTAAATGACAAAACGCTGTGTCGGATACAAAGTTTTGAAAAGACCGGGTATGGGACCATGGAAAGTGGAGGGGAAAGGAATCCCCCCAAGCTCTTGTAGGCCTTGTATGCAGTGAACTCCTTATATCATTTGTAAAAAGAAAGAAAATCTTACAAAGGAATTAGAATTAGTATCTTGAGACAAATACAAGCATGTTGTGGAACTGAAATTTTCAGTGTCAGAACTGTTTTATTTCATTTTTAGCTATGCAGCATTTTAATTTGACTTTGGCCAGTGCTGATTTAGTTTGAACAACTTCATGTACGTGTATGTGTACATGTACATGCTGTACCAGTGGAAAAAAATTTCCCCTTTTAATCTTACCTTTTTTGCACTTTCTCTTAAATTTGACAGCTCGTGTGGACACTACACAGAGTTACACCTACCATTTTGGATCTTATGAACTGTCATTTTTGAGGATCTGAACCTGTTTCTTGAATGTTCTGAGTGATGCAGAAATATTGTTTGCTGCTGTGACAATTTTATGTGCTGTGTGCTGTGACAAGGAAAGCACCATGGGCCACAGACTTGACACGGTTGTTAGGATAATTACCTCATGAAAATGTCATTCTTGTGAAGTCAGCACTGGGCTGGAGTGATAAATTGCTGAAGAGAATGGGAGACATGGATGATGTCAAGAGTAGACAGGACAAGCTTGGCGATGAAGAAAGAGGTGGGATCGTTAAAGGTCATGTGGCGTCGGAGCGACCAGGACCGGAAGGGGAGGATGCCGTTGAGATTGATCGCGCTGATCCACTCGGGGGAAATTGCACCCCTAGAACTTCATCCGTTGGACCTGAGAGTGAGGAACACACGTTGGCCAAGAGGGACAAGGCGGTGAGGAAAGGTAGCGCCGGCAGCCACCGGTCGCGACATGGCAGCGGGGGCAGCAGGGGCAGCAGGAATCGAAGCCGTAGTCGCAGCCGCCACAAATCACACCGTAATGACAGCGCGAACAGTCGCCATTCACCCGCCAATTACCGCGGGCACAAGATGGCAGTGAACGGTGATGGGGAGAACGGAACCACGACGGATGAAGATGATCAAGCCTGCTCGGTGGTACACGTCCACAGCTTCACTCTGGAGGACGACGGTGAGTCGCCAAGAGCAGGGATCCACCAAGAGGATGCAGGGAGGAACAGTAAGAGAACAGCAAAGATGGGGAAGAAGTTGATGATGGAGAAACAGAAGTACGTGACGGAGAAACACTTACTGAAGGCCAAAATGGACAAAGCCAGAAAACAGTTCGAAGAAGAGGTACATGTACATGTAACATTGAATTTGTTTCATATTGTTTTATTTTGTGTCTCAGCTGGCTGAATTGGTGATACAGTACGGTTATTAAAAGAAAAACTCACTTGATTGTCAAAATATGAATGTAAATAAATTGCATGTTGTGAATCGGTGTATTAAGATTGGAAGGGAAACAAAAATCCAGGGAATTATAAAAAGATGTATTTCCAGCAGTACCTTTCTTTCTAGTCCTAGTCCCCATCTCAACCGTTGTTCAACCCTTTCCTCCCGTCCAAAATTGCCCGAGATCAAAGTTTGCTCACGCCCGTACCATAGTTGTAGGGACATACATGTACACTCAACATTTCACCTATTTTGTGGGGACCAAAAAACATTGTGGGGACTCAGAAATGTCCCCAAAACTCGATTCAAATTTCCCTAATAAAAGAACTTGTCCCCTGAACGCGGTGAATGTCTACCCTTAGTAACTTGTGCAGTACACGTACTGTGTTTGCAAACAAGAATATGTTCATTTATATAACGGGTTTTACCCTTACCCAACGTATATATTAATAAACACTGTATGCTCAGTGCTTGTCCGAGAGCTTGCGAAAAAAGTCACAAGCTTAATCGGGTGGGACTCGAACCCACGACCTCCTGCTTATTAGTGCAGACGTCTTAACCACTCAACCACCGAGCTTGACGGGGTCTGCTGGCTGGTCCAAGTCAGGTGAAGCAGCGGTTACCGTGAACTATTTTCAAGACATATTTTTTTTGCATTGGGGAGATGTTAATTTATATAACGTCTTCACTAGTAAGTTCGCGGTACCCGCTGCTTCACCTGACTCGGACCGCCCAGCCAACCCCGTCAAGCTCGGTGGTCGAGTGGTTAAGACGTCTGCGCTAGTAAGCAGGAGGTCATGGGTTCGAGTCCCACACGAGTAAGCTTGTGACTTTTTTTCGCAAGCTCTCGGACAAGCACTGAGCATACAGTGTTTATTAATATATACGTTGGATAAGGGCAAACCTGTTATATAAATTAACATCTCCCCAACACAAAAAAATACATCTTGAAAAATGAATATGTTCATTGTACTTGTGCATGTTTAAGCATCAGAGCATGTAGTTCACAGGTTGGATGATTTCTGTGCAAGCATGGTGTGGGTACTTACCGGTATTACATGCAAGTTCATGCACAGGAGTAGGCCCACATGTGTTGTGAACATACATGCACATACAGTACCAGAACAAACAACCTTTGAAGCATTTTGTTGATAAATGTATCACCTTTTGGACCATGTACCTGGAGTTCAAGAGATTATTGAAGTCAGATAGTTCCTAATCAGCAGTAATGGTATTTACATTTTCTGAAGTACATGTATGTGCACATGAACTTCTACAGTTCTGTATATAAATGAAACCACCAAAGACTTGTGGAACCACCTGTACATTTTTATAGTGCATTCTTGCAGCTGTGTGCTGATGAAGTGACATTTACATGTACATATACTTGCACAGTATGCAGATAAGTCACTTAAAGATACGTGTACAAGTGGGGATATATCCTTATTACAAAATTAATGCAAAGCACATACATGGACATGGGCACCTGCATGTACAGCTCATCTCTCAATCTTTTAGAGTCTTTACTGTTGATTTATTGATAGCAGTACACTTCTGCCAGCTCATTTCTTTGTACACTGCAGGTGAAGGGTATTTTGGGTGCCGTTTTTTGTTTGAACAGAGACAGCCCTGGCTGGTTTTCTGTTTAGACATTCACACTCATGCACATAAATCTTATGGAATATTGCACCAAGATGTGCGAGTGTAAATGTCCAATTTTGAATTTTCAGTACTGTAACATCATAGCCCATTTAGAGTATCCAGTCTCAGCTCTAAACATGCTGTGTTTTCTGTATAGGTTGCCAAGTACGAGAGGGAACTTGATGGCAAACGTCAAGAGATGCAGACCAAGTTGAGTGACCTGCATGTGGATGAGCAGTACGCTGCCCTCAGCCAACGCATGGAGGAGCTGGCTGGGTTTAGGGATGAGTTGGACTCACGCTTCCAGCAGTGTGTGGAGTATGAGCAAGAGGTCAGTCGCGTAGGAAAGGGGAATCCCCCAAAAAGTTTGGGGCTGAAGTTACCTAGGAGACTTCTGTAGTGTGTCAGGTCAACTCACCCCCTGAATGACTCGCCCCTTACCAACTCGCCCCTTTCCAACTCACCCCCGACCGACTTGCCCCTTACCAAC